TAATCACTTGGAGCGAAATTGCTCGCCTACCAAGGACTCAATAATTTGATGAATTTTAGTAACGGGTGTCTTAATACCCGAGTTATATTTAGCTGGTTCTTTTCAAAATTTTGTTTATTGCCTCATACGAAGAAAGTCCTGTTGGTCACATTTTAACAGTTAAAAAATCTTTTAAAATTAGCCCACTTTTTCCGCATAATTAGCCTTATCGAGATTACTTAAGCTTCTCCAGTTACGCCCCGTTACTGGTGCTTTCTCTTCCAAATACGAAAGAAGCATTTTGTTATCACATGATTCCGTCGTGATTAGACAAACGAGCTCATTGGCCAACTGCCTCCTAATGCCTAAACTACTTCCAGCTATGGACGCCCGATTCTTCCAGTGTATGCTTTCAAAACGTTTTCGGTAGCGAGGACTTCTCGTTGTGTCTAATGAGTGCCTCGACCATGTGCTGGTGATGGGTACGCGACTCTTCCACATTGAAGTTTGTTTTAATGCAGTACAAACTGGCGACGAAAATCACCACAACCAGTTATTTTGTCACATCAGGTGTCTTCATGCGACAAACAATGATTGCTCCACAAACAACATTTAATGTCAGCACCAGCAAAGGTGACTGATCGAGTCTGGGAAAACAGGGTCTGTCGCGACTGTTGGTTTCTCCACAAACAGAAGAACACACCTTTGATGCGTCTGCGATCCGCAGCAAACAGGCGGTTTTCGTGCCGACGATAATTTAAAACACCATTCACAGAGATGCGAGACCTTCAGTGTGGAGGTGTGGAATTTTAACTCTGCAAAACTGGCTCGGCGTGTGCGAACGCAGTGTGTCGATTCCGGTGCACCGCGTTCCTGAATAGCTTCCATCTGGAAGTACTCGATTCTACCTACGCCAATGTTCGAACCCCTTACATGAAGGGTACCGTATTCTGATCTGAAATGCTCGCAATCAAGAGTACATGTAGTTTAATGATTAAATGTGCCGTAGTACTGCATTCAGAAGTGACCTGGAGCGATTTAGCTTCGTCAAACGTAGTTTTTGATATCTTTGAACTTGGAGGAGTGTGTTCCTGGGGACATACTTGCACATCATGTACTCTTGTGACTCTTATAAAACTATTCTTGACTAGCTGTTTCTCCACGAAGAGAATAAACCACTTTTGATGCGTCTGCGATCCGCAGGAAACAAGCAGGAAACGTGCAGAAGATAATTTACAACACCATTCACAAAGATGGAGGACCTTCAATGTAGAGATGTAGAAATTTTTACTCTGTAATACTTGAATCCTGTTTGACTCTGCACGTGTGAACGCATGGTGTCAATTCCAGCCCACCACATTCCTGAACAGTTTCCACCTGGAAGCACTCGATTCTACTTACGTCTGTGTTCAAACTTCTTTCAAGGCTTGTTACCGTAGTGTCAGCGGTGTCCACATGCCACTGCCAACTGTGGACACAGATGGAAAGTGGTTGGTCGGTGTGCGGCAGATCGTTTTAGTGACTATCACTTGGATCACGATCTGCAATTTCTACCATAGATCAACAGCGTCCAAATCGCTGGAGTTCTGACTCTTCAACATTGGCGCTTTATTTATGGCGGGTGCTGTATTTTGAGCTGGAATGCTGGAATGTGATTGTATGAATAAATATGCCATCGCACAGCATTCATTAGTGACTTCGATTGATTTAACAGGGAATATGTTTTCGATAAGATACTGTTCTCTTGTGGCTCTTCTAAAGCTTCCTGATTTTAACGACCGCGTAAATTCCTTTTTTCCCCTGTCAAAATCCCTTGGCTTTGACATCATATGCGAAAAAAAGCCGAGCTGGCAATCAGTGGCACATGGAATCTCGAAGAGGTTAAATTTTTATCAGGTTTTATCACCTCCACACCAGATGAGTCAAATCTTGTCAACGACTATTCATTAATCCACATCCACTGACTTCACTAACTGACTTTTACAGACTATTGAAATATTTCCTGCAAGACACCAGTACGATTATCATGTTTTAAGCTTCTTCAAGTCCAAAATCCTCAGCCAATCATAATGCGTATTTTTCACGATTCTAGAAGTGATTAATTGCGGCGTACTGGAGCTTTGGCCATATTTCTCTTCACAAAGCAAATCATTTCGCAGCACATCAACGTTAAGCAAGAACACGCAATTTTTAAAAAAAACTCTTGATAGTTTGGAATCTAGGTAACTAGGAAGGTTGCCGCAGTACATGGCGATCCACCACATTAAAGCATAAGTAAACGGAAAAGGCGAAAGCATTCCAGTACAGTGTTGCGTCCGGTGCAGTTTTTAGCAAGATATTGCAACATGCATAGCCTACTTTCACGGTTTACTGGTGTAAAGATTTACTACACCAAACACCGTGTCTCCGTTGGTAAATGTCACCTGCAAATAAATAGAATATACACAACCGGAAGCGTTGGTTAATGGACAGTGCAGCATAAACTTGAAAGGCTTGATGGCCAAATTACTCCTGACCGTTTTCGCACAAAGCCCTCCTGAGAGCTTAATGATTTCGTTTAATGTGTTAACAGTGCCGGGCTGAAATTGCTACTGCCCTGGACAGCGAGCAAAGGGTGAATTAGCGGTGGTGGCGGCTGTTGTCGGCAAAACTGACGTCTACAACTTATCGCCAAGGCATTACCTTGGTGCCATCGATGATATGGTAGAATGGTTGTATTTGGAATCTGAATTCCGAGATTTTTATGTTGCTCCTTATCGATGATTTTAACATATATAGGCCTTTATGATCGGCATCATTACCTCCACTGACTTCGTGGTTCCTTCATTTGACGACATCTTTGTCAAAGAATGCAGTGGTGGCAGACGATGCCATCAGGCCCACCGGCTGTGCAAGATGTCGCTGTTTGGAGAGTTTGTGACTCACTGCTAGTGTTCTGAGGAGAATAGAACGGCTAGAAAGGCGTTGGCACTACCAGACGATTCGTCTCATTTGTGAGTGTTTAATGTCTAGTGGGCTTGCGAACTGCTGGCGTGTGGGCTGGAGAATTGTCTGGTGGTGGTGGTGGTGCTAAACATTTGACAAGCTTCTCACCCTTAACACAGCCCGTCTACCTGATTACCAATATTAACTGTGCTGTTACCAAAACACAACGAACATTCATGATTAATTTAACGACCATTGGGTATATACCCTTAGGAAAAAAGAATTATCAACTGGTTTTATAAGTAATCGTTATGTTTAATTAATTAGGCACCAATTCACATGTCTATGGGCATAACAGTCACCGCATTTGGTTAACAACCAACTCCATTTCCAGCAAAAAAATTTACAATTTTCAAAAGCTGATTCAACCTGTTGGGAATCCGACTCTAAATGGCTTAAATTTGAGCTGCTTAAAAGTGCTTGCATGATTAAATAATTGCGCTTGATTTCAACTTGCTGGTAGTTGCAAATTAAAGTCGCTAAATTTGAAAATAAAATGACACAAGGGACTGTCTAGACACAATGCTAGTTTTATTACAATGTAAGCATTGAATTTGTTTTGAAGTTTTGGGTTAACGGCTTTGGTCATTCACTATGTTGAGAGCAACTTGCATAATATCTACGGATGGTAAAGTGTTAAAGCGTGGATGAAGAGAATTTAATGAGACGCCTCATTCGTCTAGCCGTCTCGACTGAACCATATGGCAGAAGTCAGACGAGGAAGTAAAAGTCAAACATGACTTCGAACCTGATCAACCAGTGTTATAGAAGGCTATTTTGGTCAATTTATTCGTCGGGCTAACGAATGACCGACTTCTCCGGCGACTTTGCCTGATCTTCAATATCTTCGCGGAAGTATGAACCGCCACCAAAATCAGCGGTTCTAGTGTTGCAGGCGCATTTTTTACGATTTTCGAACCCGCGTTATTTCTACCCACGGCACTCGTTAGCGACTTGGATTTGTGACAAGGGGAAACGGCAAACCCAAAAAGAATTTTAATAAAATTTGTCAATTATATTGTATAAATGTCGACAAGAATCTATTCAGAGAGACCCTTGGCCAGTTGTGTCCTATAGTTTTACATTTTTTGACTTGGAATAATTAGATAGCACTCAAGCTAAATTGTTACGCAGTCGTACTGTTAGATATCCTCCCTACAAACACTACTGGCCCCAAACTAGCCAATCGGCTTTCGACTGCATTTTGTCTATGCACTTGATAGCTTCTAGAAAAGTTTGAGCTCATTTCTGATTCAACATACAGGAATTCAACTTCTTAAAATAAGTTAATCACGCTCATGACATAAGGGAAGAGATCGTGCATTTATGACAGTAATTTTTTGAGTAAACTTTTAGATCGCGGGTCTAACATCGGGCTCCCTGACCAATTTGGTAAAATACCTTACAAAATCGCATTAACAGGACGCATCATGCCATAATCTTACTTTGTCCGTTTCTTTCCAGGTGGTTAAATTAACTTATGCCCAGAGTGTTTAATTTAGGTTATAAGGTTATCAATTTCACCCACGATCGCATCATGGTAACAATATTTATGAGAACTAGAATGACGCACTTTTGAAATTTATGATTCTCATCTATTCGGATTAGCGAAATCCTTAATCTTAGGATTTTAGCCATTCAACCCAAACTTTGTGAAAACTTAGATGCATTCACGCGTTAAACTGTTAACGCCTGAGCAATATCGCCCAATTAAGATGCAAAATAACCTTTTTGATTATGAGTGCCAAATCAAATCTTATTTATGCCTCTAGCATAAATTAAACCTGAAGGAAACAAGGTTTGTATTCTGCATTTAGCTGATGTGTCAATGCCATATTGACAGAAACGTAACACAAAGTCGAGGTGTACGCTCAAACTGTGCAGAAATTGACAAGCGGCGTCTTGTTAGCGTCCTTCGAGTGTAGGTGCGCGTGTGTGTGTGCGTGTGTGTGCGTGTGCGTGTGGCTCTGAATCTCTCTCACCCTCTAGGCAGCAACAACTGAAGTGAAAAGTGGCAGAAAACGGCCTGGCGACGTCTAGACAGTGGTGTCAGAAGCGACCTCCTCGTAGTCCTTCACCAGGGACGTCATGTTGACAAGCGCCTCGTTGAATTCGCTCTCCTCCATGCCCTCACCAACGTACCAGTGGACGAAGGCGCGTTTTGAGTAGAGAATATAGTACTTGTGCACGATCCTCTGCCAGGCCTGTCCAACTGCTGAGGTGTTGGCGAGCATCACAACATTCCGGTTATTCTGGCCGATCCCGCTGTCGCATCGACTCATTGGTGTCTCGCTTGTGATGCCCACCTTGAAACCCGTCGGGCACCAGTCCACAAACTCGAGGCCTTTGCTCTTCCGCATCTCCGCCAGAGCAACATACACCTGACCTGGACTCACACTGCCTCTGTAGAGGAGCGTGCAGGACATGAATTTGCCGATGGTCGGATCAATCTTAATGAGCTGATTGTCGCGCTCAAACACCGAGCGAGTGATCTCCATCACATTCGCCGTCTCGTAGGTTGTCTTTTCCGTGGACTGTGCCGGTGCAAAGTTAGCCAGAGGGAAGTGGATGCGGGGGTAAGGAATGAGGTTGGTTTGGACAACGTTCAGGTCAGACGTGAGGATATTCTTGAAGCGTAGCGAGGCGGTCACTGCGCTGCAGACGACAGCAGCAAGTCGGTTGATTTTCGTGTAGGTGGTGTGATTGGAAGACAAGTACCGCGCGCACACATCATACATGGCTTCGTTGTCCATAAGCAGTCCAATGTTGAAGTCCTCCATTGTGAAGTGTTCACCCAGGAGGCAGTTGTAGGGTTCGACGAGCGCTGTTGATAGCGAGGGAGATGGGTAGACAGGAATCTCCACTTTAATGTACTTCCTGTAGTCTCCAAGAACATCCAGAATAGCCGCGGTGAGGCCCGCTCCAGTTCCACCTCCAAGGCTGCGGAAAAACAGGATCCCCTGGAGAGCGTTGCACTGTTCGATGGTGCGTCTGAATTCGTTGAGGATCGGCGATAGTAGCACCTTTCCGACGGTGAAGTAGCCACGGGCAAAATTATTCGAGGCGTCTTCACATCCGGTAATCAGTTTATCCGGATGGAAGAGTTTGCGCCATGGACCAACACGAATTTCGTCTAGGGGGAAAACAAGTTATGTGTTAGTAGACATCGCGGAGTTCAACTCAATTCCAACTCACCCACAACTCCCGGCTCCAAATCAATGAAGAGGCAACGTGGAACATGGCGTCCGGACTCGGAGATGTTGAAGAATGTGTCAGGACACTCCAGCTCATGGGGTGGTTCGAAAAGAATGCCCTCGTGGGTAACCGCGTGCTCTGAGCAGTAGAGTTCCCACAGTGCGTTACCAAACTGGACACCGCATTGGCCCACGTGGATTGAAATAACCTCCCTCTACAAATCAAATCGAGTAGACTCTTATTTGTTTCCGAAAAAGTTAGTGCAGCGAGGCGAATCGCTAGTAAATTATAACCAGGGGGATCAGAATCAGCGATAGAGGTGCAAAAAGTGCAAAAATTTTAACCCTTACAAGGCAGAAATTAATTTACAATGCACAAAATAGCCTACCATTGACTGCCTGAGTGGTTTTTTCTTGCGTCAGCTTGGACGGTGTTGTTTTATTCAATTTGTGCGCGATCGATAAACTTCAGTTGCCTCTCACGTGGCCAAGGCATGACGCGAATCAGCCAGATGTAAGTTGACAAACCGTTGTTTCAAAACTCCAGGAAAATAATGAGTGATGCATTTTACTCGTATGTGCTAAAGAATTCGTCATCTTTTAATGCCTACTGCCTGTCAGGGCTGCTAAGTAATCAATGACACGCGATCTGCCATTTTGAGTTCCACGAATAACACGAGCGCTTAACTGATGAGAGCAGAAATTTTGGTCCCAAAAGACCAGACTGGGTCTCAAGGCACGGCATCCCAGTGAACCATTCGTACACCCAAAACAGGCCATAATGTACGCTATTTTCGTGGCTTAGCAGAAAACCAATCAGATGACTCATTAGAAAAACGAGCTCCTTTTCGATTAATTACCGTGGTGTCGCTTTTTTTCACGAAACCAAATCAGGCTGACGCGCCAACAAAACAAGTGTGTTTATGCGCGCGTGTGTGCGTTTGCTTTGCAACGTAATTTCTTTCGCAGGTGCAAAAAGCGGACGTCAAAGTACGCCAGATTGTGGCTGTAAATATAAGCCAGTCAGAATCAGCCACGTGTGAAAATGATACACCCTCCTCAAACGCACACGCCAATAACATTTCAGGGGGCTTGTTTGTCGATGTCAAGGGGACAGTAGCGGAATACTTGAGGTGCCAATGAGTAAACGGTAGGCTAGACTAGCCGACTTTCACTTTTACAAAGACCGATTAGTCAAAAACTCACAATATCCGTGTTTTTACATGACATTAAAGACATATTGGGTACTAATACGTCACAATGTCAAGCCTATTAGGTGCTAGTCAAATATAATAGTCATATTTTTTAAATGGTTGCGCCTGTCACCAAAATTAAGCCAAATTTAGATACTACGGAGTTAGGTGCAATAATTTCTCGAATACCAAGCAGGAATTCTACGAAGCCAATCAATACAAGGCGCACCCTAAGCAATTGCTCTGATTATCAACACATTTTTATCAACATTTCCATGTTGCTGACGCGAATTTATGGGTGAGCATAATCTTGTATTGGAAGCATAGTGATCGGTGATGATATTTTGACTTAACCTAACACTGCTCAGACTGGCAACCGCATCTATTGCATCTCCATATCAACAGACTATCCACTAGCCTTCATTTCGTGAATGTCACCGGCCCCTAGCACTAGCGGCGTGATGATTCCTCTACTGAGATATCATGACGTCGCTCCATTAAATTTTTCAAAATCAGTTGAAAAATTCTAGTAAGCACTATAGGAGCCCCAAGCATGGTTCGTTAGACGTTAGACACAGGTCATGATCTGCGTTTGGATGTAAAGTTATGTAGATTTGGTAGTGCTATCGTACCTGCTTGCAAATGGCTAACCTGGCGTTTCCAAAGCGGTTTTTTCTCGATAAACTAGACGTAAGCTCACCAGCTTTACAAATTACGGTTCTACTACAGTCGGAGAAGGATAATGGGATTGTTTGCCTGCACGATTACGCATACCTGATGCTAGGGAAGTACCACGATTCACTGCGCGTGGCTACATGGTGCCAGTGTGTTGCATGAATCACTTGACAGCCATCACGAGAACTGCGAAATGTCAACACAAAGCCATGCCAATAAGCCCCACCACGTGTTAGATTAGTTGAAACGCGTTCCACACGTGGGCCTTGATCGGTGTTAGCCACCTACGCCGAGGAATGTCCTTCCTGGCCGATGGTCTTCAACATCGTATGAATTCCAAAACCCTTTGAGGTTGAAATTAAACCGTCGTCAGGCTTACAGCCACAAGACATCAAAATTCACATGAAATTTGCGTAGAATTTCGAGGAAAAAAAGAACAAACCACGCGTGTTAGGGTCCAGTGAACCACAAAAAAACTTGTGCCGTTGGAAAACAACTTGTTGCGTTATCGATGTCCGAGAACACGAATACTTACGTTTTAACGTCCCCTGGTCACCACAGTGGATTCTACCTCAAGAGATGACACCACACCCCACGTAGGAGTGCTTTCCACAACTTCAAGCTGTTATTTTCTCCCGATTAGCTGCAGACATCTTGATACGATCAGCACCGCGTTAAAGACTAATCCAAGTCAGATCAACTTCTGTCATGTCCACTGTAGACTAAAGGATCAGATGTCTAGGTAGGAGCATGTTAAAGTTAGCAGAAGTCAATTTCCATGTTGCATGGACGTATTCAACTGGTTGTTACAGTTCGTGTCCGACTTGAAATCAACATAAATCGAACACTTTTATGGAAAAAAGCATTCAATAATCCATAATGCAATCGTCATCATTCTCCACAACTGACTCCAAATTTTCATGGATTCGTTTCAAAGAATGTTGCAAGGTAGTTCTTGACTGTTTCCAATGATTCAAACCCGAAGTCGAACCGTTCAGATGGCAAATGGGCATTAGCCCAGTTACCTGAAATGCTAATGAGCGTGTTGCATTAGGTGGAATTGCAATATTTGACACTACAAATGATAAGATTGATTGATTTTGGTTTGTGTGCAAAACAGCACACCCACCACACTAAATTCACCAACTTGGGCGTAGGTTTTGGATGACAAATTCGTGCAGATTAACACGCGAACTGCGCAGGATGTGACTACCGTCGCGTGTTTTGGCAAAATGTTTTTGCATTCTCATTACTAGTGGTAAATGGCGTAACACCATCAAATGGACAACTACGGTGACCTAAAAACAGGTACGCGCACACCCAGACGGTCGAAGAGACTTGAGACTTCAAAGAAAATTGACCAGTCGAGTACCTCAAGATTCACATCACGGGCACGTGGATGAACAATGCCGAGTGTGCTTCGAAGGAGGTTAGCGCGATTTTAACCAAGACCTTGAACCTTGGATTGAACCCTCACAAATCTGGCAGGAAGTAAAACATTGTAGTACCGAAAGAAAAAAACCGATGAAGGCGGACAGAGAAGGGTTGTTTCGGAGGCAACCAAATTTATTTGAGCGTGTACAAAAAAACAGAGATCAGGAGTTGTAATCAAGCAAATTTGATTCAAATTATGCACGACGCCGCGAGGAATGCACCAGTCACGCGAGGTGTCAATTAGAAGGGGTTCAAGTGCTCCGGATACGCGGCCTCCTTGTCCAGGACCTCTTCTCCAAACGGATTCAGCGATTCGCGTTGGGACTTCGGCGGCGGTTGAGGCCTCTTCGCCAGACCGACGTCGACAGCGGAGTCGACGGAAGTGGGTGGAGGGGGGTGAGCGAGGTGCTGCTGACCGGTGCTAGCGATGCTCCCGCCTCGACCTGAATCCGCAACCGACGCGACGGCTGCAACCGGTTGGCATCGACCGACGTTGTCGAAGGGATTTCTAAGAACCAAGCAAAAAGGCAATAATTACCCCCCCGTAACACAAACATTTTCGTACCAAATCACAGCATCGTTTTGCGCTATCATCTTGTTCAAGAAAGAGCGATATACTCTGTTAGAAGACGTTTATTACATTAAATGAAAAGGCAGTTAATTCCATGTTGCGCTAACAGATAACACCGGAAATTAACGCCCACACGACCGCTCCGACAGTACCGCTATGAGGCAATTAAATTAAACTCTCGCTTTCATGTTGTTGATACGAAATTACAGGAGCACGTGTGTTTGAAAATTGCAGAAGCATAAATCGAGCGTCTGCTGTACAAATCACACTGGAGATTTCTCACCAAGACAAACATAATCAACTCCACGAAGGCTTCGTGGAAGTTAAGGAGATGTCGTCAACCGCCAATCCTCGAGCGATTTAATACCTAGACATGTAGTTCTCAAATTGGAGCGTAAAAAAATTGTCCTGTGCGTGTGTGCAAAATACTACTGAAAGGGATCATTTGCTTAACTTATCAAAGTGCATCGCGCACTAGGTTAAGTTGGACCCTCAAATTGGCGGTCGCGGCCGTGTAACGTAGCGCCGAAACCTAACTGGCACTGAATTCGAGAAAGTGTGCTTTCCCTAAACGCAGATTCTTTCGCTTCACACACTTCCGTTCGATAGGATTGCCTTGAAGCAGCAACCACCATCACGCAGCAATCAAACTACCACGCGCTTTCGATTAAGAGTGAACACCGTTTGTTTATTACTGGTCTGGTGGCAGGATTATTCACAAGGCAAACACCATCATGCGGTCAGGCTCCACAAAGCCATCCAGAACATCAAGGCATACCTTCAACCGGCTGTTCTGAAAGCAGTGGCCTCCTTGATCGCGTTTCCACGGGTTTTCTGGTCTTCAAGTGCTTCGACAACTGGAAATGTGTGTCTAGACAGTGCTGAAAGCACAGCCCCCTTGTGAAACGTGTCGAAGGCACTTCAACTGTGTCGCCTGTGAGGCGTTTGCGCAATTTTGAATGCCCAAAGCGCCTTCACTTAACGATGCCACCTCCTATCCAAGGTCGACTTATAAGGCCTCCTCCTAATAACCACCAAGTGTAAA